GTTGGATTTTTGTTAATTGGTTTTATTGACATTGCTTGGTTTCAAATTTGGTTCAATTGGATTTCTCTTGATCATCTCCGGGTTTAATCCTGCTGCTGAAATACTTGCTGCTACTGCTCTGCTTTGTTGATTCTTACTCCCTCTTCCTTTTCAAATTCCAGGTATCTCCTGATTATCTATGAGATGACCTCCAAACATGAAAGCTGTAATTGCTTGAAGTCTATTTCATAATGAATGACTACTTCCTGTTAACATTCAATATCATTTTTCTGTTTAAATTCCTAAATTCAGTAGTGTAATGTAATGATATTCAACCTAGTTTATTCATCTTATCATAGTAGTAATATTTTGGAATTCATGCTATTCTTCAACTTGTTAAAAACTGATGGATTATTAGCTTGTTTAAACATTGAGGGACTGTGTATGTGGACTGTTGTTTAATATATTCACTAGCTTTAGTTCTACATATAGATAGCTATGTGATTAACCCCTGTATCGATCTCTAGTCTGGCATTTTGCTTAAAAGTTAGGGTGCGTTCCTTGTTCAATTAGGCCTGTACACCACTAAGTTTGTTTCATGCTAATGTTGGACTTGGGTGTATACCCAGATTTGCATTTGGATATTTCTAAAAGGTTTTGGCCCTAATTGGCGAAGGATGGCAATTTGAAGGTTTGAAAAGTCATAGGTTTTACCGAGAGTTGACTTCGATGTTATTTGGATTTTGTTCCTGGAGTTGGAATAGGTTCGTTATGTTATTTCGAACTTATTTGCCAAATTTGAGGTGATGCCGAGTTCTTCGGACGTGTTCGGCGTAAGTTTGGAATTTGAAAATTTAAAATAGTTCATTAAGCTTGATTTGAGTTGTGATTCATTGTTTGATGTTGTTATGTAGGATTTGAGGCCTCGAGCAAGTCCGTGCTATTTTTTGGGACTTATTGGTATGTTCGTACGGGGTTCCGAGGGGCTCGGGTGAGTTTCAGATAGGTTTGCGTTGTGCTGTGCTCATATTTAGAGAATTGTACTCTTCCACTTACTGAACTTCGTGGTATAACC